CTCATTTCCATGTCATTTTCATCACATTTGCCATCGCCTCGGTTTGCGTGCCCGTGTGCACTCATTTCGAGGCACTTCATTTTTATCCGACGGCATCCGATGTGAGTATGGCTGAGGCTCACTCATGTTGGTATAAGTCCATTTGTCATTTCATCGCATTTTTTTGCATTGCCTCGGTTTGCGTGCCCGTGTGCACGCATTTCGAGGCACTTCTTTTTTATCCGCCGGCATCCGATGTGAGTGTGGCTGAGGCTCACTCACGTTGGTATAAGCCCATTTGTCATCTCATTTTCATTGCATCTGTCATCGCCTCGGTTTGCGTGCCCGTGTGCACGTCCTTCGAGGCATCTCATTTTCATCGCATATCATCGCCTCGGTTTGCGTGCATGTGTGCACGCATTTCGAGACGCATATCATCGCCTCGATTCGCGTGCCCGTGTGCACGCATTTCGAGGCACTACATTTTCAGCATCTTGTCATTTTCTCAGTTCGCGTGCCCGTGTGCACGCATTTCGAGACATGTCATTCCATGGTATTGTGTATATTAGGATTGTATATTAGTTGCATTTCATGCATATCATGCACATTGCATTGTGTTCGGAATAGGAGTTAGTCCGGGCACGGGAAACGAGGTAGGACGAAATGTGTCTCAATTCCCCAGTCACCGACACTCCGGATTATCCATGATGGAGTTAGGTTTTAGCTGTAGTTTCATGTGCATTCATCCTATATTAAGTTGTGCATTTCGACCCCTCGGCCATCATGCCTCGGTATGCGTGATTGATGGCACGAGGATCGAGACATGCATATATCTGTGCAAATACATTGCTATGCCCCTTTTCTGCTCTCTGTTGCAGCAAAACGAGGAATCAGCAATTTCCTGGAACTTAGCACGCATTTCAAGAACAGATGTAAACAGAGGCTAATTGGGGCATTCCGGTGGATTTCCGCGCAAGACAATCCGGACATGCATCATCCATCAGAAACAAGACAGTCCTTGGCTTGCACGCCAGTTTTATCTGCTTTCTTAGTTAATTCATTAATTAATTAGGATTTTGTAATATTTCGGACTGTAATGTTCTTTTATTCGGGACTGTAATATTCGGACTGTATATTTATTTGGACCCTCCGAGTGAGGGCACAACTGTAATAAGTGTGGGTGAGTGCGATGTATGTCTTCCAATCCCACGTCTTTCTCCCTTTTATTTATCCGCTTACGATGGTTAGATTAGGGCATGTTTAAATTAGCATACAGTATGACAGCATGTTTGCATCATTCATCTGTATTGCATGCATCGGGCTCGGCACATCATACTAACTGCATTGTACTTTCAATTTCAAAAGTTGAATACATGATAGTTGTAACATTTCATATGCCATCTTAGAATAGCCGAGCCTGCTATAATTGCATTTTGCATGTGTTGCATTAGGCATTTTTGCATACTTAGGATCATGCATGATTTCTAACGAGTGTCTATTTTGGCTTGGAGTACTTGGTAAGCTTTATGCTTTAGCATCCTTGCATGCGTGTGAGTGTTGCCATGAATAGTATACTTACCATGAGGCTAATTGCTTATATGATATATCTGTCTGAATGCCTGTGGGTGGAGGTTGGGTCATCTGAATTGGAATAATACATGAAATGTTTTGTTCCAATTCTGACGATCCAGTCTATACTTATTTGCTGTACGCATCACATAGTAACCTAGGCTAAATAACCGAAATAAGAACTCACAATGTTTTCAAAAATTGATATCATGGTTAGTAGAGGCCGGTCTATGACCGGGCGAGCGGGGGTGCTCACGAAGTGACCTTCCCCAATCGTACCCAAGTTCCCGAGCCGAGGCAACTTTGGTGATGACGGACACGTGGCCTTTTGGCACCGAGTCAGGGTTTCCTAAATTTCCCAAAATAAAATATTTAGGTGGCGACTCTGTATCTGGCAAAGCAGTCCATGTTTGGCACTTCTTTCAAAAAATCAGTTTCTCAAAAATGATTTGCCGGATTTGGACTCTTTGGTTCAAAGATTAAGAACCATGGCAACATAAGAGTCCGAGCTGTAGCGAGGTCCCCCGCGGGCTTGTTACAGCTTACAGCTTTCCAAGTCAACACTTGGTTACACAAAAGAAGAGTACTAACTCTATACAGAATAAGCCCTTGGCTTGATATACATGTAATACAAACAAAGTAATGAAAAAAAAGAGTCTTCAACTCTCATCGTCATCCAAGCTATGTCCTTGGAGGTGGCATGCTACCTGTACCTGAAAGTAATGTCCCATAAAGGGTGAGCCAACGCCCAGTAGAGATATGCTAAACATAGTATGAGCAATGACTAAGACATTAGCAATTGATAAATGTTCAGTTTCCGTAAACCAATTCATAACCCATTTCCATTTCACTTCAGTTTCCATTTCTTATCAATTTCACAATTTACATCAACGGCTCAGAACCTGGCCAATCCTTTATATGAGACGATGACTCATATTAAACATTTCCCATTTTAAAATAGATAAACATACTAGTTATATCAACATTTCAACAGATAAGCATACAAGCTGTATCCACACTTCAATAGATAAGCATATGAGCTATATCAACACATTATCTGACAAACATATGAGCTGTATCAGTGGAGTCCATCCCCTATCTCCTCCCAAACAACATCCGATTTAGAGGTCCATTCCCTATCTTCCCCTAAACCGTGGAGTACATCCCTTATCTCCTCCCACACACACACTGTATATACACATAGGTCATATACACAATCAATCAATAAATAACGTTAATGTATTCTACCAACCGTCATACTCTATGACATATCCAATTGATTAGTTTTAGTTTGCCTAATCATCATGCATTGTCTACAACAATCAAAAATACCCTCCACCGGTTGCCCAAGCAATTATTTCTAAGCAGATAATAAAAGCTCCAACAGATAAAATATCAATGTTTTCAAAAGTGAGCGATTTATAAATCCAACTCCATCATTTCACAACATAATGAGCCAATTTCATTATTTCCAACTCAATTCCATGAGTCCACAATTTTCCCCAAATTAATTATACCAATTAATTTATTCAACAAATTAGGGTTTTCTACCCCATTTCCCAATATTGACCCAATGGCCTATATATCAACAACCAACAACAACATCATTATTTTGAAACCCAAAATACATGTTTGAGAATCAAAATATCAAACCCTCGTTTATACCCTTTTGAAACCCTGAGTCCCAAAATCAACCAACTTCAACACTATATCAAAACTACCCATAATCTATGTCGAAGACCATAATAGTGAGTAGGAATCCCTACCTCAAATTCGGAGCTTAAGGGAAGAAGATGACGAAACTCAACGTGCTCCAAAACTCGAAATTTTCGGATCAAGGTAAAGCCCTCGACGATCAACCCAACTTTTGTGAAGACCAAAGGTGAGAAAAACACCCTAGCTAGATCAATACTTAGAGAGAAGTTATGGTTTTAGAGAGAGGAGCTCTCAAATGGCTTTTTGGAAAAGTAAGAGAGAGAGAGAGAATGCAAAAAGTGATTTTAAAATACCCAGCTGCCAACTGATATACGACATTCCCGCTCGAGCGGAGAACACAACGCTCGAGCGTCAAAAACAAAAATATGGACACGCTCGAGCGCAAGAAGGCCCGCTCGAGTGCCAAGACACAAGAATAAAGCACATCCGCTCGAGCGCGAAAACCAGTCCGCTCGAGCGTAGATTTCCCCCTCCCAGAACTTACACCAAAAAGGTACTACTCGCTCAAGCGCCAGAGTACCCGCTCGAGCGCTCCCGCTTGAGCGTAAAGAAACCCGCTTGAGTGTAAAAATCACACCTACAGAAGTTTTGCAGGGACACGAAAAACTGGGAGTGTGCAATATCCGCTCGAGCACAAAAAGACCCGCTCGAGCGGAACGACCAAAAACCCGGCAACAAGATTTCAGACCAAAGTTCAACCCACCTGTTCGAAACAAGCCCAACACATCCTATAACTCAAACAAACGGAATTAAAGGATGACAACAAGATAGATACAACACTCAACTCCACGGAACTGAGTCCGGAATACAACAGAACAGTAAAGGGACAACCGGGATCGCTATACAATCTATAGAATGTAATTCACCTATGTTTGTGTTCATCAAAAATGTCAAAAAAAAAAAATAAAAAAGAAAAAAGAAAGCCTTCCTTTTTCCTCAAAGAGTCTAAACCATCAAAATATATCCAGATTTGCCAAAGAATCAAGAGCTGTCAAGATGTTAGATTATGGTATATGAATCTTTTTTACATTAGCCCAACAAGGAATCAAGAGAAAGAATTTATAAAAAAACGTCTTTTTGTGCCTTTGTTGTTGCTACTTGTTCGTAACAATATTATATTCTCGGTTTTGCTTTTAAAGTTTGGAATTGAACAACATAATGCCATACTATGAGCTAACTGGGGAAATAACCAATGGTAGAGACTAATATGTATTAGCCAAATACAAACAACAGTTAATACTACTGTCCACATAGTTGGCAAATGACACACATATATCCATCACCCAGTAGGACTTTACATAGAGTTCATACCAACAAAGAATAATAGTTTTGTCCACTTAGCTGATATCAAGCAATAATTATGTCATGGGAATTTATCAATATAAAACCTTTTAATGAAGGACCTTAAAGTAAATGGTTATATATATACCCCTATTGATAAAATATGTATATATACACATCTATAGGGGTGCTACTGTAACTTGCATATGATTAGCAGGGCAGGCTGAAAATTTGAAGTATCAAAATCACCGAGAGTTTTGAAACATCTTTAACTCATAACCTTTCATAATCGTAATTTTCTCAACTTTTCTATAAGAAAAGCAAAGCACATTATATCTGCACGTTATATCTCTTTTTCCCTAATGTCCATTACTTGCAAAAAAAATAAAATAAAAAAATAAAAAAAATTCAAAAAGAAAACAAAAAGTAATCAAAATCTAAAAGTATGAGGCAAAGGCATCTTAGAAGGAAAAAGAAAACAAGAAAGTAATCAATATCATACAGAAGCTGTAGATTGACGATGGAAATTTAAAGGAAATTGTTCCAATCCAATGTCAAGACTAAACAAAACAACTATTACTCAATCTCAGATGTCATAAAGTAAACTGTCATGAAATTGAAAATTGGTGTGATTAGTGCACATGAAGCACATGTAAGCATCCTGCTACTGCTACAATTTTATCACAAGTTCTTAATAATAGTCCAAGTTCTTAATAATATAAACATGGCTTCAATTATAAGAGCTAAAAGTCAATCAATCGAGGAATTAGTCTTCAAAGAGAACCAAAAGCAAAATTAGCCATTTGCAGTCCAAATGTCCTTCAAAACTAGACTACATACATACAGTAAACCTTGGTGATAACCTGTTAGGTTAACCAAACCACTGAAAATTTGATCAAGATTTGTTTGCAGAGAGAAATGAAGCAGAGTGACAGATCTATGGGAAAAAGCAGCATGCAGTAGGAGAGGGTTGATCTAAATCTCAGAAGGTCTCCTAAACAAAGCTAGATAACAATATCATAGCAACTGAACATGGCAACACAGATGAACAGTACAGAGTGTCCCTGTTTTCCAATACATTTCCTTCTTTTTGCTTTCCTCATAACCAAAAAGAATAAAAATAAATTTAAGAAAATCCACTGCCACTTGAAAATCAATTGAGAAACATGTTAAAAAGATTTTGTTTATAAGCGTTCAAGTATGTAGCAATGTTATCAAAAATAATACAGGTAAAGTGGAAAGGGTTGACCGGAGCTAGTGGTGGGTAGTGGTTGGAGCTGGTAGTGTAAAGTGTATTTCATTGCACTTCTTCCAGCAAAGTGGAAAGAGTATTATCAGCATTTGAAGTTTGAATACTGATACTCTCCTTGAACTTTCAAACTTTACCTATCTTCATAGACAGTTCATAGAAAGTTCATGTTTTGGCCCAGAATTCCCATATAGTTACAGATCTAACCTGAATAGAACAACAATGTTACATACTTGAATGCATGTAAACAAAATATATATATATAATCCCTATTTAATCTAATGTCATATATGATGTGCTTCTTTCAATCCCTATTATTTGTTTTAAACAGTTAAAAAGTCATCGACAAATGAAAGGAAAACATCACAAGAAACAAGTGAAGAAAGAGTATATATATACAAAAAACAAAAAAATGAAGGAAGCTACATCTAAGTTATCAATTTAACAATGAACTTACATCTAATTTATCAATTTAAGCAAGATTAATATTGGATTTAACAATGAAGAAAGAGTATATGTATCAAGAATAATTTAAAAATGAACTTACATCTAAGTTATCAATTTAAGCAAAGATTAAAAAATAACATTATGCTTTTAATTATCCAAACTCAATTTTTTTAAAAATAACCATGCATTATGATAGATAGGAGTACAGATCTAACCTAAAAACACCATAAGAAAATATCAAGCAACCCCAAAGCTTATACATACCAGCTGAAACAGAGCCATGTGATGTACTACCGTTACGTGATGTGGTAAGAAGACTGTCCAGTGGATGCCATGATGCGGGTGGATCGGGTATGACTCTCATCTTGAGTGTGGCTTGAGTCTCATCTGAACTAGAACCACTAGAGCTTGATTGCTCATTTTCACTAAAAGAATGGTCGGAGCTAAAACACATAGATAACATCTATAAAGAAACTACAAACATAAGATTAAGGACATGATAATCTATAAAGAAACTGCATTCAAAACAGAATAATAGTATTTTTTGTTTAATTGTATTTTTTATAGGAACTTTGAGTCTAGAGATGCTAAGACTTGCCCCAGTTTTAGGGACAAACACCCCTTGAAGCTTTACCTTATAGAATAATTACTCTCAAGTTTTGCATAACAGACAATGATCTGACCTGTCTAGTGGTAACAACTGGTGCTTAATTTGGTGATAGAATTCACTACAAGTCAACACCATAAGAGAATAAAGAAAGTAAGAGAATCACTAAGTTTAAAAGTAAAAAAAAAAAACTATTATGAATATTTCATTCTGATTTATCATATGTTTGTGTTGCAGCTCAAACAAGAATCAATGGTGGGACATAGATGGCCTTGCAAAAAACTGATGTTCCATTCTGAATATTTCATTCTTGACACATCTGCTAAGAAATTGTTTTTATGAGCTATAAAAAAACCTAAGACCACCAATTTGTAGCTTACATACTAAATTAGTTTTCATACTTCCAATCCCGTAATTTTCCCTTCAAATGATGTTTTTATTTGACCTTTTTGTTTGGGTAAAACAGTATTTGAGAGTCAGCACTTTGCAGTAGCAGATGTTCGTGTGTGATTTTTTCACTTTGGAATGGCATGAAGTTTTGTAGGCCATAAATGGAACCAAATTGCACATGAACATTATTAAAAGATTAGCATATGAAGCAAGTCAATTATTAACTTGTGAGTTAATCATTTTGTTTGTTTTTATTAGAGATATGGCCCAACTGATTTCAGATACATCAAACCAGTGATACATTAATTTCTGCAGTGTCAATATAATAATTAACAAGCTCTGTGATCTAATATGTATTTCCAGAATATTGATTCACAATTACGGTTAAATTTTTGTTGAACTATCATCTTTTTTGGCCCAATAATGTGTCCTATTTATCCAAATAAAATTGTCGTATGAAAATTAGTGTAGAAGTTTCTTTCAGTTCAAAAAAGAACCCAACAGATCAAATCTATTCATGGGGTTACGAAAGGGGATCTTTGCAAGTACAATTTCTTGGAAGTCTTTTATATGGCCTCAGAAACTCAGTTTCACATCATCTTCCCATCCAATCTACTTAGCCATGACCGGCTTTCAACAATTCAACAATCTATTTTTATTAAGCAATTCAACAAATCAACAGACACACATATTGATGTGTACAAATGTTATACATGCAGTAAAATTTGAAAGAAATATATATATAGAGAGAGAGAGAGAGAGAGAGAGAGTACCGATTAAAGTTCAAAAACAAAGCAGACTATTTGCAGCCATTGGAGCTTGAGGATCAAGTAAGAATTCCTTAAAACATTGATTTCAGTAAATGAGGATCAAGTCAGAATGCCTCTCTCTGAATCTCTGCAAATGAGGATCAAGTAAGAATGCCTTCAAAACATTGATTTCATAGATCTAAAGAGAGAGAGAGAGAGAGAGAGAGAGAGGGAGAGAGAGGGGGTGGAGCTCGCTACCTCGCCGGTGCAGATGACGGTGGCGATGAAGCTTTGAAATCGATCTGAATCTTCGAAATCGCCGGTGTAGATGGAGCTTCGATGAAGAAATGTGTGCGTATAAGGGTTGAGAGAGAGAGAGAGAGAGAGATGTTTGCGTATTCAAGCTAAGACTCAGTGTTATGTATACTTACAGGATTGAGCATGTTGTGTTCTTTGAAGCTCTCTTCAACAGCCAATTGATCTTTCGAGAGACAAAACTTCTTCCTAGAGTAATCTCCTTCGTCTTCTTTGTTGCTGAGAGAGAGAGAGATAGATGTATGCGTATAAGGGTTGAGAGAGAGAAAGGGCTCATTCAAAATAAGGGTTTCAAAAAGAGGCACGTGTACCTACAGCGTTTGGAGATGTTTTCAAACGCCTTCAATTAGAAAACGGTATTATTTTGGTTAAAAAGATATACGGTGATTATAAAACGCCATTAAAATTAGAAAACGTGACGTTTAATAAAATGTCGTTAATTAAATGCCATTAAATCCCTAATTTCTTGTAATGAGTCACTTCTAGAAAAACACCTAGATGTTATATCCATATGGTTTCCTGAATACTTCATTCACCTTCTGCGAAGTCTAAATGATTAAACTCTTTAGATTATAGAATTCCATTGGTTGGTGTTGAAATTGTTACCTTCAAATTGGTTTGTGATACATAAATCTGATTCAGTTCTGTCGTCGCTCCATTGATCATCTCTATCAGTTACCTTCTTCTTGGGTTGGATGAAATTCTCATACTGAGTTCCTTTAGTGGGCTGCTTTCTCTTATGTCCATTGACCGAACTGTCAAAAGGTGGGACTGAGTATTGTGAATAGTTTGTGTCAGAATAGCCTTCACAGACTGAATTTGCTAGCTTCAAAGCTTATGCTAGAAACTGTGTCCATGGAAGACCTGATGATTAATGGTAACATGGCCTACACACTTGGTTCATTGACTTACCCAATTTGGGCACAACTTGCACTAGCTCCTTATTGGTTATCTTAGCTAGGTCTAGATTGCTCATAATGGCGGAGTGAAGTGAGGTCACTAGTAGTAACTATCTCATAGCAATTATCAGATGTGCGCACACCGTGGTATTCCCCTTTTTGTCCAAAATCTGACACTTATCTTTTGAAAACAATACCTCATGATAGGAGTCACACATTTGACTAATATTTAGGAGATTAGCTCTCAGGCCATCACCAAGCAACACACTATCCAATTTTGGAAGTCTGGGAGCACTTATAGAACCCTTACCAATGACTCTAGAAATGCTACCATCTCCAAAACTAACAAGTCCTCATTCATATTTATTAATGGATGTAAAGTAGGATTTGTCATCGGACATGTGACAAGAGCAACCACTATCAAAATACTATATGTGTGACTCATGTGCTTTGTAAGCAGTGTGAACAACAAAATAAGACAAGTCACTCTTTCTCACCCAAACCGTTCTATTCTTGACTAAAGTGGAATCAACACAGTTCTTGGATGGAGTCTTAGCGTTGTAAACATCATTTCAGCCAATGGTATTCCACTTAGACATGAAAGGTTGTCTTCTAACCCAAGAGGTACTAGAATTTCTTCTACCTCTTTAAGACACTCTTCCATACAATTCAAAGTAATAAGGGTGAATGTGGTCAAACCTACCATAATGATGACAAATGAAAACACGTTTTACCTTCTTTTCTTTGATCATACCAACCTTAAGACGGTTGAAGGACTCATCATCATGTTGCATCTTTTGCTTTCATTTTTCTTGAGTCCTTGTATCATGAGACATGAAAGCATTCCACTTTTGTACTTTGTCATCACCAAAGCCAATTCTGCTCTTGTCAAACCTTATCTGTTGCGAGCCTATGATATCTTCCAATGTCTTTGATCCTTTGTTCCAGACCAATGGTAGCCATAATACACTTGAGCTCTTCCTCTACCTTGATGACTTGCTCATGTAATTGAACTTGAGATATCTCAAGAGTTTGCATTGCACAACTCATGTGCTTTCAATAGTTCACTCCTCTGGATTCACGAGTTAGAGTTTTGTACAAAGAGCTTATCGATAAATTGAGATTTTAATGGCATCATTCCTTACTTCAGAAAGCTCACCTTTCACTTGCACCTTCTCATAGGCTTGATGAAGCTCTTTATCATCGATTTTATCTCCCAACTCTTCATTCTTGCTCTCAGAAGATTCTTCACTTTTGGAAGACCCGTGCAAGGACACATCCTCCTCTCATTTATCATTCAGGTTCTCATCTTCAGTGGGAATGTTCAACCTTGCAACAAGAGCATTGAACCTTGAAGTATTGGATGCTTGTAAGGAAGATTCCCCAATTTCGTGAAATTGCATTAGGGTTTCCCAAGCGTCTTTTGCATTCTCACATTGAGAAATGTGTTGATGCTTCTCGAACTTCACTCAAGGCACACAAGCTACTCTTCATTTCTCTTGCACTCCATTCCTTGATTGGCTTGATAATTTTCTGAAGAGTTTCTAAATTGATCATATATGGAGCTTCAAAGTTTTCCTCAATAGTGTGCCATCCATCCGGATTCCATGCCTTGAGAAACATTCTCATCCTACACTTCCAAAATAGGTAATTATTTCCATCAAATATAGGTGCACGGTGTGGAAAACCAACTTGCTTAGTTAAGGAATTTTTGCATAGAATGCGAGACTTTCTTTTTGTTCTTCTTAGTGGGACACTCAATAGCAATATGGCCAAAGCCTTGACATTCATAATACTTAATGCTTTGACCTCTAGTAATCTGCCTTTCAAGTTTAGGAAACGGTCTAACCTTGTCATTATCCTTGTCCTTTGGAATTGAATACTTGAAATTAGGCTTTTTCTTCCTCGAAAACTTTTTGTATCATTTTGTAAATAAAGCCATCATTTCATAATCGAACTGACCATCCACCTCCAGACTCTTTACATCCCCACGAGTGCTACTAAATGCAACAGTGTCTCTTTGCTTTTTCTTTGAAATAATGTGCGCCTCATAGGTTTGTAAATTCCCAACCAATTGGTGCTATCAACATACCATCACCGTAACCTTTGGTTGGAAACGGTCAGGTAAAATCTCAAGACCTTCCCAACAATCCTAGCCTCAGGGATTTTCTCTCCCAAAGTAAAGCAAGAACTAACAGTATCACTGAGCTTAGCATAAAACTCATCAAAGGACTCACCATCCTTGTAAGCCCCAAAATAATTAACTACAAAAATCTTGATTTAATCCATTTCAAGTCATCATTATACTAATTAAATCTCTATGGTTGTATTTCTTAATATATGGGAGATTTACAAAAGAGGTCCACAAGCAATTACATATTCAATCACCTCTAAGGTATGGATCTATAGCATGTGAAACAGATAATATAACCAAAAAAAAAAAAAACATAAAATAAAACAAAGCCCCTCAAGCCACAAGTTCTGAGGCTTAAGCCTAATTACAAGTAAATGGTTTACAAATCCACAAACATAAGCCCTTGGGTTGTCAAAAATATAACAATTAAGCAAAAGAGCCTTGCGCTCTCAAAAGCATCCACTCGCCTTCACCAAGAGGGAATCACCACATCATTTTCTACACAAATCCACTAGGGTTGAGCACAAAACCCAGTAGGAAGATCTCAATAAACTATATATGTTTTGAGCAGTCTTATAATATGGATGCAATGCCATGCCATGCTCCAAAACCATGAGTTTTGTCCTTTTGAAATCACATGCCACGCTCTTTTCAAAAACACATTATTTCAATGAGTTCAAACTACAAATACAGGGCGGTAAATAGAAGTTAGGTAATCCCTAGGCTGGTGTTTGTAAGTAGGCATACTAAGCACTACCAATCGCCACTTTACCGGCTCGTAATTGGAAAGAAATCTAGAACCTACTGCGTGGGTTCTGGACTTTCACCAACGATCTCAAGCCAACTTAACAAAAACCAAATACACCCCACCATCTGGACTTACCGAACATGTTTACCCCAAAGCATTTCAAGTTCGAAGGTTTCTCAAACCATAATTTGACTTTCCAAAACCATTGTTTTAATTAAATGTTATTCAAAAGCTATGTAATGAATGAAAATGGAATGTAAATTAATATATTCTCAATAAGCAATACCCAAAATTAACAACATTCTCAGTGCAACACAATGTCCAACATTTCATAAAATCATCACAATTATCGATATTTCTAAATATCATCCAACAATGTATATATGACATATGATAATATTTCATATTCACAATCAATGTCAAATTTTTATAATCCATGCATATTTCAATCACGCTATCAAGGGTAATTTCTCAATAACACAACACATCCAGCTCATGGGTGCTTCAACAATACATCACTCATGAAAGTTCATCATTTTTTTCAATGAAAATCCTAATATTTGTGTAAGTTTTTGTCACGACCCAAACCCGCCCCTATAGGTTTAGCGTTGTAATTGACCAGTAATCCTAATAGGCCTCTAAGAAAAATTCACAATATAAGAGGCTAGCGGAAGCAAAATAACAAATATACAAAGTCCATTGAGCTGTGCAGACATATATGAGGCAGAAAATTTAAACTTTATATACATATATTACATGTCATTCTTACGTCATCACATGTATAGATATAACAGAAAGGGACTTAGTCTTATATACAGATTAAATAAAAACTTGTCCAACTAAAACAAAAGAAAATATAAGCTTGGGATTGGTTCACAAAAAAACCTGACTACAATATTTAGAAACCTCATCGAGAGGCGCACTGGTTGGCTGACACAAAAGATCTCCAGGCAATTGTCTATAGGCCTGGTCACCCGTTTGATCACCTATATACATAATATAAACAATGAGCTGGAGCCTAGTGAATAAAAACAGAGTAAATGTTTTTATGAATGATGTCCCATAACAGACTTAGAAATTAGAATTTTAGATCAGAAACAAATTCATATATATATATATATATTCAGATTGTAAATAGTC